TATAGGCTATATTTGCTTAAAAATATTTTAAATTTAATATATATATAAGGATTTAAAAAATAATAAGTTTTCTTATACAGTTTAGTGAATTAATATCTAAAAACAATTGCAACATAAACCTGCAATTTTTTATTATTAATATATTAATAATTAAACTTGAAAAAAAAACTTTTTTTTTTAAATTTTAAATAAGTAAAAATAAATTAAATTGTATTTTAATTGTTAAATTCGAAAGAATTAAAATAATTTAGAAAAAAAAATCACTTTCGTATCCCGATTTTCAGTGCAAAAAGTCACGTGTTGGTTATTAAACGTGTCTACGTATCAACAGATTGATATATTTTCATATCAAATAGCAATTGGTTGAATAGTTTCAACAGGGCATGATAACCGCTTTTAGTTTTACCCTGTTATTACTGAACATCAATCACAATCAGTAGACTGAATGCGAGTAGTCCAATAGAAGAAAAAGTCAAAGGTGTTTGAATAATGGCCAAGACTATGGTGTTATTGCGGTCTGCAAAAGTCCAGAATAGTTTCCATTCAAGCATAGTGAAACGATAAGAGGTAAAATATTGGTTTAAAAGATATATATATCGATCTCGAGGAATGCTTTAAAAGAATTTCCATAAAAATTAATTGAATTTTAAACTAATAACAATATTGATAATCTTCGTTACCATCAAAAAAACGAGGAGAAAAAGAAAAATAAAAAAATGAAATTTTTACTCGTTGAATTTTTCAAAGAACGTAATGGTTCTCTTGTAGATATTCTAAATTATCTTCTGATGGATTTTACAAGAAAAGTATTTGTATCTTGCAACGGTTGCATGTCAGTATAATGAGATAACTACTTTAGAATATTCGGTATAGATGTAAGAAACAACGATTAATTGTTTAACTGCCGTGTGCTTATCGATTAGAAATGAGGAAGGCTTGTTGTCTGATGTCACAATGATCGCCGAGAGCTGCTTATGACAAGATGAAATATGGAGAAAAGACGAAGGGTCAAAGTACAGGAATAAGTACCAAACAACGCATACCTTTCTTGACATTAGGCATTAAAGATATCTCAAATCATTAAGATCCAAGTGTAGGTTAATTAGACAGCAATAATAAAGTTTGTTTTGATTGATGTCTATTAATTATATAAAATATGTATATATATATATATATATACATTTATATAAATGTATGAGTAATTTTCTCTATTCGTCAGAAGATGCGGAGGAGAAAAACCAATTAAAAAGAAATTACGAAATAAAATAAATATGCAAATAAATTCGAGATGTATTTATTGAGTTAAATTCGTTTATTTCACATGAGATATTTAGAAAAGATCATCCAATATTTTTCACTCCAATAGTTCACGCGAAGCCATATTTTATTTCGCAGAATTATTGGAAACAACTCGTTTGACTGTGAACATGACGGATGTGAAGCGCAAGGAATGGAATTCAGTTATTGAATTCGTCTACATCACTCCAAAATATTAGATTTTTCTACTTCTTACAATGGATAATAGTTTTTCTCCCTTTTCTCTTTTAAAGAGAATTAATAATACCTTTGTAGTTCTGTTAGTGAAAGCCAGATATAAACCATTGAACATTTACTCTATATTTTTGTATCGATAAGTTGAAACTAAAATATATCGACGAGTCAACATCAATATTGTAAAAATATCCCTTTCTTGTAACTAAACTGTCAATAACTTGCAAATTTATCGCATTTATATATATATATACACAGAGGGTTACAACGTTGCAACCCTCTTTAAATTGTAACCCCTCTACACAGAGAGTTAGGAATATTGATTTTATCTATTGTAGGATTGCAACACATAACTCTCCTCACGTTGTAACCCTGTATGCAAAAGCAGAGTTACAAACTGATTTGATTTTATCCACTATAACCCTTCCCTTCTGTTCAGACACCCCACTTTGAATAAATTATTATATATAATTTAATTCTCTAAGCATTCGTACTCAATCAAGCTGAATTTTTGCTACGTAATTACTAATTGAGAGGTGGGAGAAGAGCAGACGAGAAAGAAATTTATCAAAATTATCTGAAAAGATATATTTTTTTAATCAATATTTATATTCAATATCTAAAAAAAAAGTTATATCTAACAAAAGGGGAGAGAACATATAGATTTGTCTAATGTTAAGGTGAGAAATACAAGATGGAGAATGCCAATAAAATTGTAACTGGTTTATCTTTACGATACATTCCAGATGGAGTATTACGTGAGAAAGAAGATCCAATAAATCCGAATCCGGATGCTGTTGCTGCAAACCATGTGATCACGAAAGAGAATCACATCACAAGAAATGATGTTGAAGAAACATTGGTAAGACTTCTACATATACTGTAGACATACGTGTACTAAACGATAAGCAAATTTGCAAGAAAATTCTTTCATTCTTTAATGTTTGATACATCAATAATATTGTAAAAATAGGAAACTTTTTGCTTTATACTTCACTTTTTTCTTTATTTATTTAATAGATAACCATCAATCATATTTTGAAATTAATTCATATATTTGAATAGAAGAGGGTGGAGATAGATAAATAAATAAGAAAAATAATTGTTATTCTCTCTTCTTTCAAGAATTTTTAGAACTTTTTTTTTATTAAATTATTTTCTTAAAAATATTTAAATATAAAACACTATTTCTAGTAAAAAATAAATAAAAAATAAATGTATTTCTTTTCAAATAAAAATGAGATTTGCAGGTAAAGAAAAATGGCATCACAATTTTTTATGAATCAATGTTTTTAACATAGAACGAAATGATACTGCATCTTTTTTTTTTTTTAAAGAATCATCTTAGATCTGCACTTTTCTTTGATCGATTCTGGTTATAAAAACTCTTGAAAATGCTTCTCTTAGAAAATAACGTAAAAAAACACACACATATATATAATAATATTTTAAATTTTTAAGAAAATACTTGAAGAAAACGTGCATATTTCATGTTTATAAACATTAAAAAAATAAATATTAAATGTGCAGAAAAATCTTCGATGTGTAATTCATTAATGCCTACCGGAATAATGGAATGTGCGGTTTTTTTTTTAGGAAGAAAAATATAAGATCTTGCCAAGAATTATCACTAGAAAACAACTCGTGTTACTGTCCTTAACTTCTCTCAAGATAAAATTAACATCTACAGGCAATCAAAAAGACATTAGTGGGAGATTCGACCAACATTTGATGTCAGCTTGATCTTTTTAGACTGATGTAGAACTCTATCCCGATTTTCATTTCTTAGAAGATATTTTCTAAAAATCTCTTGTTAAATATATAATCACTTTGGTTATGTTAACATCGACTAGTAATTTGTATAAAGGGCAAAGAGAAGAGAAAGAGGGGAGAGAGGAGAGGAAGGGAAGAACAGAGATCAGAATTAAAAAAAAAAATACATATATAAAATTAAAAAATTTAAACTTCTTATCTTTAAAGAACAACCTTTGAATTTCATTATCTTTTNAGAATTCTTTAACACAGTTTAAACTTTCCCTATTCCATATATTTTTAATGACTCTTCAAGCGAGGAAAGTAATGTTAAAGAAAAGAAAAAAAAAATGTATATTCTGTAATTTTTTAGATGTGTCTAAACTCTTTAATAAATATAAAATTATTGTACAATTTTACACGCTTTTCAAACACTAAAATAATGCAATTTATTTTCTAGTTTAATTTTATGCTTAAAATTCATAAAAATAATTAATTCATTTGCCGAAAATTTCATTTAAATATACAAAATAATCAGTTAAAGTTTTTATATGAAGCTAAATAAATGTTTTAAACACACAACACACACACAAAGAAAAATTACATCTGTTATACATAATGACTTACAATGAAGTTGATGGGTAGAGAAATGATTGATGAGAAAGTCCTTAAGTATTTATGTTCGAATTTCCTTTCTTTAATTAAGGAAAATAAATAAACAAAACGTGATACACGACCTGTAAAGATGGGGAAAAAACAGAAAAAAATAATAAAAATAAAGCTATTTTTGGGAACTTTCTTCAAAAGATTTCTTTTCAAGCCACAAGAATAACTGGATATAAGTTAAAGTTAGTGAGACGAGGTTGAATCTATCGATCTGAACTGAAACATGAAGTGTTTAGTAGATAAAATGTAGTAGTGTTGATCGCCCGAAGATGGCATTTTGAGGGTGGTTTTTTTTTATATTTGTTTGTTTATTTGTTTCTTTTTTTTATATATTTCTTATCAGTAAAAAGAATTTTGGACCAATTCCCAAAACTTCTCGTTTAAATGTTTGATAATAATAATAATAGGACTTCTAAACGTAAATTTGATTCGATATGTATATATATATTTTTTATTAGGAAAAATCATTTCACTCGTCAACGCTTAAACGACCAGCTTTGACCACTTTGTCAACGTTTGATGATATGGTCTCTAAAACTGGTATAGTCGACAACAGACAATTACAGGATCTCAGAAGTCCACCGGCTCTTCCTAGTGGAATGACACACGAAATAACGGTTTTTAAAGATGGTTCTCCTGTGACGAAAATGCAAACTGCCGTGTGAAATAGGTAACGTTTGAATTCTTTCTCGTGCCTACAACATGAGTAATTTCTAAGGGAGGGAAAAGAAAGGAGCCAAGAATGAGCTGAATTAAATATTATTTAAAATGAAAATATGAAGAAAATCTATCGATGGAGTGGATAATATAAGAAAAAAATAAATAATATAAAATTAGATTCTTTTCTAACTACTTCACATGTTTATTGCCTAGGGATGGGCTGAATAATTAATGAATAAGTGAAAAACACCAATATAATCTTGATACACTTGTATTTTTTTTAATTTAGCTCCTTTATAGTTATTTTTCTTCATTTTGATGTCCCTCGAGTACAGTCTTGGTTCTTACAATTTACAGATTTTTTTAAAAAAAATCATTAATAAATTATATGCAATTTTTTTATTCTAGTGATTATTTACAGCTTAATTTTAAAATTTCGTAGTTTGAAGTTTTATTTATTTCTCAAAATTATAACTAAAAAAAGAGAGGAGAGAAGAGCAGGTGGATGAGAATCGTTAATTTAATAAACTAAAATTTACTTTTTATATATTAGTATTTTGTAAAAGTACAAGTTTATTGCATTTTTATATATTTTTAGATAAGCATCTCCTTCCGTTTCCACTCCGCGATACTCGTCGAGCATCCTGTCCACTATGCAACACCCGGATCGGCATAATGTGCCAAGAATGCATTAAAAAAAACAAGAAAGTCATCAGCTGGACCACCAAAACACATCAGAAGGAATAGTATAGCAATTCAAGTACACGTCAAAGAGATAGAGGATGGATTCATGAAGCGAACTAATCTATAAACATTCAGACAAAAAGAAAAAAAACAAGAATATTTATAAAAGATCGGTGAATTCTGTGATACTACACGTCCTAGATACACCATCAATTGAAGAAAGAGACTTACAACGTTACTAATCATCTTTAAAACCAGCAAAAATACCCTTTAACTCAACGTGAAAATGAAGATGCAAGGTGTTAGATCTTAACATATTCATCCCATTTCATACAAATATCTTCCGCTTTACACTTGCTTCCAAGATTCCTAATTATTTCCGGACCATTAGTTAACCAATAGACTAAAAACTTTACTGAATCATCGTGTTTTTTGTATTAAGTTCTTCTTCTTCAGGCCATGTGACCGTCCCGTAATGCAATATATCAGATTTCATGTTTTCATTTTTTTGTTCATCAAATCCTGATATTAATTATTGGATGTAAGAAATCAATTTTCTTTATCAAATATATCAAAAAAAAAATATATATATATATAAA